CTGTTTACTATTTCTGTAAGATTAACCGTTTTTGAGATATCGACTAAAAAGTTGAAAGGTCAAAGGTCAAGGTCAACCTTAAAAACCTTTAAAACACACTAAAATCCTTGAAATAAGGTCAAAAACACATAATTCGCTATCTGAGACATGACCTTGACCTTTGACCTTTTGACCTTTGTCAAGGTCATTAGTCCCCAATGTCATTGCTGAAGACCCCATGGGTCTAGGACCTTTGGTTATATAGTAAAAGCTGATTTTGTCTTTTCAGAAACCTAAAACAGGGGTTATGCCCCTTACAGAAAGGTCAAATCTCTTCGGTCAAAATGTAACAAAGTTGCGCCTTAATGACCCAAACATTTTCCACTATTTAAAACTTCTGTAAGTATAATGGTTTCTGAGATTATCCCATAACAAGGTGTAAGGTCAAGGGTCAAGGTCAACATACAAATTTGACCTTGAGCCATTTTTCAGTCACATGAATTGATGATCGTTGGTGAAGACCCTAGGTGTCTCCGACTTACGGTTTCTGAGTTTTGGTGGCCAACCGACACCGGTTAATTTTCATAGGGGCATAACCCTACCAACGAGTCGTTGAATCTTTTCAATCCAAATGTAACGAAGAACCGGAGTCTGGTCCTGAAGAAGTTTCACCCTTTGTTTTTTTTCTACCTCTTACGGTTACGGTGTTTGAATGATAACAAGGTTTTTAGGTTTCGGAGGGATTACTCCGAACCGACAAAATTTTATGACTCACAGGGTGAGTTCCGGATAGATATTTATGACACCGATACAAAGTATGAACATGAAAGCGACACGTCTTACGGTTAAGGCTGCTAATTTCGTCAAAGTTTGGCGGAAAAAGAATAATAATAATAACAAGGTGTTAGGTCAAAGGTCAAGGTCAAGATACAAATTTGACCTTGAGATATTTTTCAGAGTCACATCAGTGGATGATGATTGTTGAAGATCCTAGGTGTCTACGACTTATGGTTTCTGAGTTTTGGGGGCCAACCGACACCGGTTAATTTTAATAGGGGCATAACCCTACCAATGAGTCGTTGAATCTTTTCGATCCAAATGTAATGAAGAACCGGGGTCTGGTCCTGAACAAATTTCACCATTTGTTTTTTTTCTACCTATTATGGTTACGGTGTTGGAACGATAACAAGGTTTTTTGGTTTCTGAGGGATTACTCCGAACCGACAAAATTTTTCGACTCAAAGGGTGAGTTCCGGATAGGTATTCATGACACCGATACAAAGTGTGAACATGAAAGTGACACGTCTTACGGTTAAGGCTGCTAACTTCGTCAAAGTTTGGCGGAAAAAGAATAATAATAATAATAAACAGAAGAAATACAGTAAGGTCTTTTCCCTTTTGAAAAAGGAAAGACCTTAATAATAATAATAATAATAATAATCAGAAGAAATACAGTAAGGTCTTTCCCTTTTGGAAAAGGAAAGACCTTAATAATAATAATAATAATAATAATAATCAGAAGAAATACAGTAAGGTCTTTCCCTTTTGGAAAAGGAAAGACCTTAATAATAATAATAATAATAATCAGAAGAAATACAGTAAGGTCTTAAATGCCCCCTCTGCTACGGCAGGGGGATAAAAATATTTAAATCTCATGCGTATATCCTATATTTACAAGAACAACTGTGGGAATAATTTCCTGTGATATGGTCTAAAACATTCTATGCACAAATTCACTTGACACTGAGTACACCCAGTTTTGGGTTCTTATGAGCACATTTTACAAGTCCTCTATCTTCTTTGGGGTATTTTCAATCCAGTGATTACTTGGTTGAATCACTGGTCTTTGATCCACTGACCGTTTTCTTTTTTTCATGAAAATGTCCTAGCATTTGGTGAGCTAGTTCCATTCTAAACTCAAGCTGAGTCATTTGATGTGGACTGTTCTTTTTGTCACAATTTGGGGGTTTAAGGACTCCCTCATAAGTAGATATGCGTTTACAATACTTATGTCCACAAGAAAGTAGTATTTCCAGACTTTCTGGAAATGTTGTAAGTCGACCTCAACTGATCTGCATGGTCTACTCCATTCATATACATATTATAGTGTTTAACTGACAGTGGACAAGGTACCTCTTTGATGGAACCATCATTTTCCTTCGATTGACTTTTTCAGGTTCACCATAAGAATTTTGTGACAATAAATTTATGTTTTTCTTGTCCTTCCGAACAGTGACACGCACATAATTCTTTTGCTTTACCACAAATTGGCCTTGTTCTTTTAGTTTTATATGGTCTAAACCAGCGGGTAATCCTTTACAGCTTGCTCGAAAGGTGTCACAGGCATACATACCATGGTCTGGTGAAGTAATGAAAATGGTAACCCAACCCAAACACAGGGGTCATAAGATCAAGAACAACTTTTTTGCCAAGATTAAGTTCTGGATTATTTGCAGTCTTTCCAGTATAAACTTGGAAGTCATTTATATAACCATTGTTTGGATCTGCTCCAACCCAGACTTACATCCCCCTTTTTATAGGCTTAATGGGAACATACTGTTTGAACCCCAACCCGCCATTAAAACCAATCACTGCTTCATCAATGGATACTTCCATGTGTGGTTTATATTCTTGAAGAGATCTATCACAACTTATTTCAAGAATTGGTCTTACATGGGCCAATTTATCATGTCAAGGTTGAAGTCGGGTGGATTATGTGTGGTGTCAAAGTGATGCCCCCCGCACTCCACTCTGAAGTAACTGTATTATAACAAAGTCAATGAGGACATTCTTTGAGATATTATTGTGTCTGGGAGATACAAATGGTGCCCCAGCAGATGCAAAGTGTTATTTAAAAATACACAAAGTTGCGCATTGGAGCACATATGTCTATGGTTCACTGTAGGAGGAGTTATCCGAAAACGCCATGCACCTCTTATGCAAGTTTATACTCCAATAAAATGCTTCGCTGGGACGCAGCTTGATACGACCGCAGAGGTCGAACCCTGAACAGTTGGGGCAAGTATGGACACAACATTCAAGCTTGATACAGCACTGAGTTTGGATTGTAATTAAATATTTGACACAGCATAGGTTTCTGACACAGAATGAAAGTGGTCTAAGAACTTAAAAATTTTTAATTTACCTATTCAAACCATATCATTATTATTTGCTTTTATATATAAATCAGAAATAACCAATTTAAAATGGAAAATTTTAGAGAAAAAAAAATCCCCCCCCCCCAAAATTTTTTGAACCCCCTTATGATTCATCACCCCCAAACTCAATTCCAGCCTTGCCTTTGTGGTATGGTACCTTGCAGTACAATTTCAGAGAGATCCATACACTTGAACACAAGTTATTGTCTGGAAACTAGAAAAATGCTTGTTTTTTTACCCCTTTTTGGCCCCAAATTCCTTAACGTTTAGGGCAATTACCCCCAAACTCAAACCCATCTTTCCCTTTGTGATATGGAACCTTGCAGTACAATTTCATAAAGACCCATACACTTTCACACAAGTTATTGTCCTGAAACTAGAAAAATGTTTGTTTTTTTGCCCTTTTATGGCCCCTAATTCCTTAAATGTGGAGGCAATTACCCCCAAAATCAATCCCAGCATTCCCTTTGTGATATGGAACCTTGTGATACAATGTCAGAGAGATCCATACACTTACACACAAGTTATTGTCATGAAACTAGAAAAATGCTTGTTTTTTGCCCCTTTTTGGCCCCTAATTCCTAAAATGTGGAGGCAATTACCCCCAAAATCAATCCCAGTATTCCCTTTGTGATATGGAACCTTGGGGTACAATGTCAGAGAGATCCATACACTAACAAACAAGTTATGTCTGGAAGTTACAAAAATGCTTATTTTTGGCCCCTTTTTGGCCCCTAATTCCTTAACAGTTGGTACCATAACCCCCAAAATCAATCCCCAACTTCCTTTTGTGGTATTGAACCTTATGGTAAAATTTCATAGAGATCCATTCACTTAAACTAAAGTTAGAGTGCGAAAACTAATGTGTCTTCGGTGACGATGACGACGACGACGCCAACGTCATACCAATATACGACCACAAAAATTTTTTTGCGGTCATATAAAAATGACAAAGTTCAACTATCTCCCAAAAGAGCAAATATCAATAAAAATCAAAACCCTTACCACATGCACACCTTCAATATATGTACAAACAGCCAGCAAAGTGAAAACTTCCTAGCATTCAAACTGTAGCAGGAGTTATCTGGAATAACTTTATACACATTATGGGATGGACGGACATAGGAACGGACAGACGTAGGACGGACAGACGGACAGGTTGTAAAACAGTTGCGGGGGCATAAAAATCTATCTCAGCCGTGGACCTGTAAAATCATTTATTTGAACTGGCCATAGTTCATCACCACATTTTGCAATTTTGGAAAGAGCGACATTGTCATCATTGCTATCAAAACCTTCATTTTTATCAGAATCAACGTCTGAAAATTTGATTTCAGAATCAATATTATTCAATGCATCAATATGCTACAAGTATCTTTCTTCTGCAGAATTTATATCCCGTAATTCAAAGCCATCAAACTCACTTTCACTCTCGGTACTTTCGAAAATTTCAGCCATTGTTTTAAAATTTTATTAATGAAACCGTGCGTACACACGTGTAACAAAAATGTCTCAATATGGCATAACACTTGCACTGTGAATAATTAAATTTCACACAACGAAACTTTAAACCCTTTTCTATTAGACAGTATTTTTTTAAGTTCTGGAAATCCCCTTAGAAATAACCGATTGAAGCGATTCTTTCAGAGTGGTGTCGACCACGACTAAAGACGAGATCGGCCATTGAATAAGGTAAACAAACCACGACTGTAGTCGTTATTTGCCTGTGAATGTTAGATAATTATCACGACTAAAGGCGGGATTGGGGGCGAATGAGTTATTAATTTCCTGAAATGAATAAATGAGAGTACCATTGTGATGATATTTTTTTCAAAATCATTTTTATACAAGCATAAATCTTACCTCCTGAATCACCAAATGCCAAAACATGACATGTCTCTGAGATATCAAAGCTTGTAATGAAGCTGCCATGGGTATTAACAGGTTGCATCGACAGTGGTGTAGGTGCCAAAGAATTAGTGTCTATTATCTGAAACTGCCCTGCCTACAACACATTAGGAAAATGAAATAATAATTTTCTAAATATGTAGTTCACATGAATAAAGGTAAATGAGATGTTTTCATTAATGAGAGGGCAACACAAAAATTAAAAAAACAAAATGACATGTTAATTAACTGTTCATATTCATTGTTTCAATAAGGACCTTAAATAAATTTTTATATTTTATTTGTGATACATCTGTGGAGCAGTATTTTCAAAGGTCAGGTAAAATCTTATTTGGATCTGAAACCAACATCTGAAAAACTTTTCTGAATTTGCAGTTTGGGAAATCATGTATCAGTATGACCTATAATAGTACTGGATCAATTTACTGACGAAAAATTATTTCAACACATCTGTGAGGATGTTACGACAAACCAATGGAAAAATTTGGATATACCGTATAGCGTGTTATTTTTGCGGGGTGTTTATTTTCGCTTATTTTGGCGGATAAACGAAAATCGCCAAAATAAATTCCGCGAAAATTTATGCATACGTTTTGGTAGTTTCGAAGTTAAAATGGTTAAAGGATTTTGTAAACGATCTATGTTTCCCTGTTGGCAGGTCAATAACGGTATATGTTAGTTTTAACAAGATAAATGCCAAAGGGCATTGTACATAAATGTATTTTATAAAATAACTGTCAGGTGTGTATACCCTTATTAATAAGTGCCAATTAGAATAAGAGTGTAAGGTACTCTTATCAGGTAATTACCCCATATTAATTAGTGTCAAACTATATAAGAGTTGTAAACACTCATGATAATTTTGTAACCTAGTTAGTAAGTACATCAAAGGTCCGGTCAAATCTAATCAATCGTAAAATTTACAAGACGTTTGAATACCTGTAACAAATACTTATCTAAGTTAGCGGTATTCTAATGATTAACTGTATCAGAAACTAATCAATAAATAAGAGATCATTTCGGTAAAAAAATAATTAATCAACCATAACAAAAGACACTTGTTTGTCAAGTTTTACAACTTTTTAACTGCAACAATTTCAGTATCCACCAAAATATTTAATTGGGATTTAAGAATCCACCAAAATAAAAACCGCCAAAATTTTTCGTATACTTTGCGGCCCACAAATCGCGAAATTTTACACCCGCGAAAATAACCCGCTATACGGTATTCATACTGGACATATCTAACTGTTTTCTTCTTTAACATTCATCATAAATTAAATTTACATCTTAAACCATTTATGTGTGGGTTTAATAAATTAATTGAATTACCCAGAATTAATTGAATGGGGGGGAGGGGGAAGACACCTTATTTAAAATTTGAGGAGTGGTGGTTATTTTAGACAGAAAGCCTTAACAGTTATATCAAATAATCTATTAAAATTTTATGCATGGTGGGGTTAAATAAAAAGTGACATCCGAAACCCCCACCCACCCATACAATTAGTTGTGGAAAAGCCCAATCAATTCAATGTTTGTATGCTACCCAACTATTTGCATCCTGTCACATCAGATTAAATTCTAACAATAGCTATTTAAAAATATTTCAGGTATTGGAACAAGTGCTGTTCAGGTTTACCTGACATTTACTCAAATTTCACATGAAAAATGTTGGTTTCAAACCTGGCATTTTTTATATTAAAATAGCTTTTGATAATACCAAGATTAGAATTAAACGCTTGTTAAACCAGAAAAGACCAGAAAAATAATAACAAGAATACAAGTCCATAAGACACTACTATGCCTGCTCACACTATCCTATATTAATGTTCAGTAAACTGTGAAATGAGGGTCAAAAATTTAGTTTGTAAATTGATTTTAAAAGTTTAACTCAAATGAACAAGTTAATGTGACGAAAACTTCATGGTTAACTACCTTAAAGAATTTATTTATTTCTCTCTATCAGATTTCTATGTACAGTAAATCATGAAAACAGGTCAAAACTGTTATTTGGCATAAAATTTCAAAAGTTCACATCATAATGAACATGAGCACTAATTTTCAAGTTGATGTAGCCAAACCTACATGGTAAAACAACTTAACCAAAGACTTTTTACCTAATAAAGGACGGACAGATGGATGTACAAACCAGAAAAAATAATGCCCCTTTTCTATTGTAGGATTGGCATAAAAATGAACACATGAATGATTTATGCTTAATCACAATTCAAATGTAGTGCATTTCTGAATATTTTTTAGCTTGGTTTATACTGCCTTCATCACCTGGAAAATCAAACTAGAGGGTCTAAAGAGATTGTGTCACTCAACTGCATCTTCAATAATGGCAATTTTTTGTTATAAATCATCATGAAAGGATAATAACTCTATAAAGAGTTAACTGACAATTTCAGTCATGTTGATATAATTGTAGATCTTGTCCTGTCGATCCTTTTTTGCTTTTTAAATTTCTATCTACATTTGTATCTATTACACTTCTCACAAGATAATAGGCAAAAACTCCAAAAAAAAAGAAGGTAAAAACATCTTTAAAGGGAAATAACTCCAATAACAAGTTGAACAAGCATTCTGTGAGCATTGCCTGGCAATACATAGTCCCCTAGAGGTTGAAAACTCATTGTACTGGAACAAAATTCTAACTTGATCTATAACTTGTCATTGTGTAAACTATATAGCAAATATCAAGTCAATATCTTCAAGCATGACAAAATAAAATGCTCTGCTGGGTGCAGCTTGATACGACCGCAGAGGTCGAACCCTGAACAGTTGGGGCAAGTATGGACACAACATTCAAGCTTGATACAGCACTGAATTTGGATTATAATTAAATATTTGACACAGCATAGGTTTCTGACACAGAATGAATGTGGTCTAAGAACTTAAAACTTTTTAATTTACCTATTCAAACCATATCATTATTATTTGCTTTTATATATAAATCAGAAATAACCAATTTAAAATGGACAATTTTAAAGAACCCCCCCCAATTTTTTGAACCCCCTTATGATTCATCACCCTCAAACTCAATCCCAGCCTTCCCTTTGTCATATGGTACCTGAAGTACAATTTCAGAGAGATCCATACACTTGAACACAAGTTATTGTCTGGAAACTAGAAAAATGCTTGTTTTTTTACCCCTTTTTGGCCCCAAATTCCTAAACGTTTAGGGCAATTACCCCCAAACTCAAGCCCAGCTTTCCCTTTGTGATATGGAACCTTGTAGTACAATTTCATAAAGATCCATACACTTACACACAAGTTATTGTCCTGAAACTAGGAAAATGCTTGTTTTTTGCCCCTTTTTTTGCCCCTAATTCCTAAATGTTTTGGGTAATTACCCCCAAACTCAATTCCAGCTTTCCCTTTGTGATATGGAACCTTGAAGTACAATTTCAGAAAGATCCATACACTTACACACAAGTTATTGTCATGAAACTAGAAAAATGCTTGTTTTTGGCCCTTTTTTGGCCCCTAATTCCTAATATTTTGAGGCAATTACCCCCAAAATCAATCCCAGCATTCCCTGTGTGATATGGAACCTTGTGGTACAATTTCAGAGAGATCCATACACTAACACACAAGTTATGTCTGGAAGTTACAAAAATGCTTATTTTTGGCCCCTTTTTGGCCAATTATTCCTTAACTGTTGGTACCATAACCCAAAAATCAATCCCAACCTTCCTTTTGTGGTATTAAACCTTATGGTAAAATTTCATAGAGATCCATTCACTTAAACTAAAGTTAGAGTGCGAAAACCAATGTGTCTTCAGACGACGACGACAACGCCGGACGACAACAACAACATGAACGTCATACCAATATACGACCGCAAAATTTTTTGCGGTCGTATAAAAAATGTGGAAAATTGATTATCTGAGTGAATTTTCCAAGTCCAAGGACCATAACTCTGCACAAAATCATCAGACCGGAACAAAATTCTAACTTGATCTGTAACTTGTCATGATAAAACTATATACCAATTATCAAATCAATATCTTCAAGCATGACCAAAAAAAGTGAGGAAAACTGATTATTTGAGTGAATTTTCTAAGTCCAAGGACCATAACTCTGCACAAAATCATTAGACCCGAAAACAATATTTGAACTAGATCTGTAACTTGTCACGTTAAAACTATATACCAATTATCAAATCAATATCTTCAAGCATTACGAAAAAACATGAGGAAAACTGATTATTTGAGTGAATTTTCTAAGTTCAAGGACCATAACTCTGCACAAAATCGTCAGACCGGAACAAACTTCGAACTTGATCTGTAACTTGTCATGATAAAATAATATACCAAATATCAAATCAATATCTTCAAGCACGAAGAAAAAAAGTATGGAAAACTTATTTGCCGGACAGACAGACAGACAGACAGACAGACAGACAGACAGACAGACAGACAGACAGACAGACAGACAGACAGACAGACAGACAGACAGACAGACAGACAGACAGACAGACAGACAGACAGACAGACAGACAGACAGACAGACGGAGTACAAACCGAAAGTCCCCTTCGACTTCGTCGGTAGGGGACTAATAAAGATTTCAGCCATGATGGCCTTTTTGTAGATCATGTCTTGCTGATAATTTTTGCTTTATCAAGTTTCCAACTATCTATAATAGTTTTCAAAATAATAGACAAGAAGAATGTGTCCATAGTACACGGATGCCCCACTCGCACTATCATTTTCTATGTTCAGTGGACCGTGAAATTGGGGTAAAAACTCTAATTTGGCATTAAAATTAGAAAAATCATATCATAGGGAACATGTGTACTAAATTTCAAGTTGATTGGACTTCAACTTCAGCAAAATCTACCTTGACCAAAAACTTTAACCTGACTTGACCAAAAACTTCAACCTGAAGCGGGACAGACGGACGGACGGACGAACAGACCGAAAAACATAATGCCCCTCTACTATCGTAGGTGGGGCATAAAAATGCTAAAAATTGAGAATAATATGCTTGGCAGGGTGCAGCTTGATGCAACTGCAGAATTCGAACCCTGAACAGTTTGGGAAAGTATGGACACTACATTAAAATTCACATACAGCTCTGAATTTGGATTG